AAAAATAACAACACTTTGTCAGGACCATGAGGCGATCATTCCTACCAACTTTCAGTTCAATCGGTCCAGCAGAACTTGACTTTAAGTTTGAAATAGGTTTTCAAAATGGCGGCCGTGGCGGCCATATTGGATTTCTGATCGACCCGAAAAATAACAACACTTTGTCAGGACCATGAGGCGATCATTCCTACCAACTTTCAGTTCAATCGGTCCAGCAGAACTTGACTTTAAGTTTGAAATAGGTTTTCAAAATGGCGGCCGTGGCGGCCATATTGGATTTCTGATCGACCCGAAAAATAACAACACTTTGTCAGGACCATGAGGCGATCATTCCTACCAACTTTCAGTTCAATCGGCCCAGCAGAACTTGACTTTAAGTTTGAAATGTAAAATGTTAACGGACGACGGACGACGGACGACGACGGACGAAAACGGATAGCAATAGGTCACTTGAGCTAAAGCTCAGGTGACCTAAAAACCTGGTGGAAAAATAAATTTGATTTCCGCCATTTTGAAGGAAATGAACTAAACATTTTGAAAGCATGCACATGCACCAAACAAAATAATACTGACATACTTATACCAGTGTTCATTCCTAGAAAGGATTTTTTGTTTGTCGTATGCAGAGGCTTTTATATCTGTATGCTTACTGTCCAAAAACACCATATTTTGGCTATTTCTGCATAGCTACACAATTGTTTGCTATGGTAATTATCTATGCATGCGCGGTGGAAAAAATTCTGCACCAAGAAAGATAGCCCCAACTAACCGATATGATGTTTATAATAGACAAGAGGCACAAAGGGCCTGTATCGCTCACTTGTTTCTTTGGTTACATGACACCGACATAAAGGTACCTTCAGACCGAATTTGGTAACAAGAACACAAGACATTTTAACATCTCTAAAAGGGGCATCACGGTAAAGTGTATATATTTTTTTTCTTTTTCAAATACTACATCAACATATCGAGTTAAGCTCCTTATGGAAAATAACTATCGGATTTGGCCGATAGATTCATAAAAATGAAAAATTTGAATATAATCATTGTGATTTCTACCTGTCTGACCAACGTTTTGTTCAGGGTTTCCATCTACTAGCGCATGCACAAAGCACACCATTTCTTTGTAAACAAAATGACTGGCTGTGTGAAGTAAGCGAAAGAAAATCGTTGTACCGCGTTAGCTACGAAAATTTGCCAAATGGTCAAAAGATAGCGCAAGGAGTACGTTACAGAATCATTATTGCAGGTAGGAAGTATTCAAAGGAGAAAACAACTGTGCTAGCAGTTAGTACGGTGCATGTATTCTTCCGGATAGCCGGTTAAAAGCTGAAATGGAATCAACATAAATGCTTGCTGGTATATTTAATAAGCACTTGGAGTGGTTTGTCTGATGGTCTTCAATATTTTTACAATGGTAGTCCTCTAATCTTTTTGTTGTTTGGATACTTGTGTTTTGAGGTTGTTATGTATTGTGGTGAGATGAAGGGTAACGCTGGCACTAGCCCATCAACCACCCTGTATAGAAATGCCAGGTGTAACTCCCTCTGCCTTTCTTGCTGTGTTTATATGTCCAGATCCTTTAGCATGGATTCAACACTAACTCTTTCCCTGGACTAGTAGTCACCACAGATGAAACATGCTGCTCGCCTCTGGTTCGTTCCAGATGCAAGATGTCTGATTTTAGGTGGGGGGGGCCCCACTATATTCTAGTGTAGACCGTACAAGTGATACATAGGCATTTTTCTTGCATGTTTTTGAGCTGTGTCGTAAGTTTCGACGGTGGAATCCCAATGTAAAACTGGCCTTTACTACAGATATTGTTTGTGTATTCCATTTCAGGTCCTCCAAGATCAGAAGGCGGAGATATGGGTTTTTGGATACAGATTCGAGTATGTTTACTTCGTTCATAGAAATGCGACGAATTACTGTTTATTGAACATAACCTTTTTTAACGTTAAATTTCATACCCCAAGTATGGGCCAATTTCAGAATTTTCAAGGGCTGTACCAATGGTGGTCATGTACCACCTATTCCCATGTGTAATTTAGTTGATGTTTATAATATTAATCTTTAATTCCTTAATTTTATAAGGGAATCCATCATAATTGTGTTAAAAAATGGGTATTACTGGCATGACCAAAATTGTTCAGACTCCAAAGGCATGTCCCTGGTTTGGCAAATATCTTATGATGATGCACGGTGCTTAAGGAAGTCTGGTTCTACAATGACTGGGCGCAAACTCGACTCGCGCTCATTTTAGTTTTTATTGTCACAAAATTAGTCAATAGGGATGTGTTCAATAACTGCCAAACACCTCTAAATGTCATCAATGGTAAATAAATGTCAAATTTACTGTAAACATGGAAAACTGGCAAATTATGATTGTTCTTTTTTATACCTGACCCCGCTCTACCTCCGATTCAGTAATACCCGACCCTGCTCTACTTCCGATTCAGTAATACCCGACCCCGCTCTACCTCCGATTCAGTTATACCCGACCCCGCTCTACCTCCACCTCCAATTCAGTAATACCCTACCCCGCTCTACCTTGGATTCAGTAATACCCTACCCTGCTCTACCTCCGATTCAGTAATACCCTACCCTACCTCCGATTCAGTAATACCCGACCTCGCTCTACCTCCGATTCAGTAATACCAGACCCCACTCTACCTAAGTCAAGAATGCGATTTTCTAAATGAAACTTGTCGATGCCAGTAAACATTTAAATTGTTTGATGAGCACATTTGAAATTCCTGGTTGTTAACAGTAAAAGCACCTTGAGGTAACTTTTAACCTAAACTTAATACTGCTGTGTATAAAAGACAACCTTCAAAGTGAGTTTGTCATTTCACATATTTACTAGTACAGTACATAATGTGAAAGAAATAGAATCGATCATTGCAATATGAGAAAGATCTGTTTAGTTCTTCCTTTAGCCATTTCGTTTTGATCAGTCTCAAAATATAACATGCACAACGAGGGATCAAGGGGAACCTACATCTCAAACTTGATCCTTCAAGTTATTCCTGAGAAATAGTACTAAGAAACCTTCAATGTCAAAAATCGAAGCCTGTCTGCCTTTTGTTTATCTGATCAGTCTCGAAAGTAAATATGCACTACTAAGGACCAAGGGGAACCTACACATAAAACTTGAGAAATATTGTACTTCCCAGAGAAATAGCGATAACAAACCTTCACTATCAAAATATCCAAGATGGCTGCCTGTCGGCCATGTTAATTATCCGTTGGATTTTGATAGTGAAGGTTTGTTATCGCTATTTTTCAGGAAGTACAAGAGGGATCTTTCTCAAATTTGATATGTAAGGTTCCCTTTGGTCCTTAGTTGTGCAGGGCAACTTTTGAGACCGATTGCCTGTCGGCCATGTTGTTTTCCAATTGGTCTCAAAAGTTGCCCGGCACAACTAAGGACCAAGGGGAACCTACATATCAAATTTGAGAAAGATCCCTCTGGTTATTCTTGAGAAATAATGATGACAAGAATTGTTTAAAGAGGGTGATTTAAATAGCCCACCATCAGATGATGGTGGGCTAATAAATCATACAACTTGCAGTCTGCTGGTCCTCCCTACATGTTGATTTCTGGAATAGCCCTTACATCACACTTTAGATAAGCTTACTGTACATGGCCTTTGGCCAGGTGAGCTTAAAACAAAGAACAAAATTATAATTCTCCACATTGATTTATTTGGGCAACTCAACAAGAGTTGTAAGTAGGAGCAGTGTCAAAAATGGTTTATAATTTCAATACACTTGTCTTTGATAAATTGCAATAATAAATTAACCAAAATACTGAGCAGTGCAAGTCCAATTTATTGGGATTACTTACTTCCCCTTGCTTTTGGTGTTTTTGGACATCTAGAAGTATGAACAAAATCATTACAGCTTTCTTCTTTTAGCACAACTTAATCTGAGAAAGGGTCAAGTTGAAAGACAACATGTAAACCAAAGGTAAACTGTTGCACGTTTAAGCACTATTTAAGTCCAACATTGAAGTGTTCGTTTACAATTTGTCGAGGAATTTGTCCAACCCTGGAATACCCTCAGTAAGCCCCTTGCGTTTCCTTGTTGCTACAACAATTTTGCCTGAATTGGAGTTGGGGTCATGTACATCTCCCGTCATAATTTTCCAATGATCGAACACGCACTGCGGGAAAGCCTGTCCTCCTGTATTTGAACGCAAGTGTGCTGTGAATCCTGAAAATGAAGAATAAACATTACTGGTAACTGTTGAACATTGTTCATCACTAGATCACGAAATACGCAGGGATTAATGCAGCAACAGAAAGTTTGTACACTATCTTGAAATAGGGGAAAATATGCACTACAGGTGCATGCCCTGTCCAGTAAGGGAGGGGACAATGGATGACATCTCTAATTTTTGCTTCTCGCTGTACATTATATAGATGCTTCGAATTGACCACCAGGTAAAACATTTGTGTCGGGGCTGTTATGATATTGCATACCGTAAACAGGGCTAGCTGTAAACAGTGTCATGAAAAATCAGCAGTGACAATAAAATAAACACTTTACTGGTAACTGTTGAACACTGTTCAAAAATGAAATAAATCGCTCGGTCATGGAACAGAGGGAAAATAAAAAACAAAATGAAACCAAGACAGATACTCATGTGTTAATATTAAGGAATTTTTAACTGAAATAGGGGGAAATAACGCCAAAATTGGAGAGGGAACCCCTATATCCACAATAGTTGTGATACATATTTCCAGACTTTCTCTTAAACATAAAATTCAATATATATTTGCATTGGTGTTAAGATTCTCCTCACAAATTGGTGCAAAATTGTGACTTTACAATACCCAGATAATGATGTCAACAATATTTCATATTTGACAATTCAATGCAATCAAGGATTGGAATAACTTTATGCAAACACAATCAAATACTTACCAAATGATTCATTTACCGGCAAGTAAGCCTTGATGGTACATGTTGGACGTCCTGGTTGTGCAGGCGATTGTTGAAGTATCTCTCCACGCCTCTTATTCAATGTAGAAAATACACCACCAATAGCATTTTCTGGTACCTATCATATCAAAATGAACACACATCAGTAACTAACATTGCTGTTTGATTACCTTGTAATTGTTAAATTGGCAATGCAATCAGGAGTTCTTTAACGAAATTTAACAGTTTATTGCTGTGAGCATATTTCAAAAACATTTGCCGAAAAATTCACGATAAATCAAATGGTTGCGACCAAGGACTGGTTTTGGATTTTTCTTGAGAATCCGCGCACCCTTTTATTGACAATTTCATTTTCCCTTAAAAACATGCACACTATATGCAAATATTAACGGTAGTCGATGGTCCGACATAAAATATCTAAATCAATCAACACCAAACCATAATATAACAGTGTACCCATTCCGGACCCTCAAGGGTGCCCCGATTCATACTCGGAACATCTTTATGTTATATGTAGTTCCCGTTAGGTTATAGGTAATTTCCGTTTGTTCTGGTTTATGTTAAATTGAGGCATGAAGTTTTACACTTGCTGCTTTGAAATTCCTCAGGGTTACCATACATCTAGAAAATGGACAAAAGTTACAACAATAATAACCAATAACTTGCCTCAATTTCTACAAGGTAGATGGGTTCCATAATGTTTGGAGTAGCTGTTAAAGCACTGGCATACATGACACGCCTGGCTGTTCCTATGATTTGGCCACCACCACGGTGGATGGCATCAGCGTGGAGAGTTACATCATGAATATCAAATCGCACACCACGAACATTTTCTTCACACAGCACACCCTACAAAAGGAAAAGGCAAAATAATTTACATACACTGATTTTTTTTGCTCACCTCTATTTAAAACCTGCTGAATACCTTACAGGTTTATCAAAGGAGTACAAGAACCAAAGTTGCAAGAAGAACTACATTTAAATCTGTTCTGGTAGGCAAGACACAAAGAAAATGAGTTTCCATAATATGTCCCAAAGAGGTAGCCTCCAGGGAATGGTCTGGACCTCTGGGGGACACATACTCCATTTAAAACTTTTCAGTCCACATTTGGGTGTACAAAAGGGGAAAACCATCCTCCATTTATAGATATTAAATTACCTTTGCCCAAAGATGCTCTACAAAAAGTTTGGTTAAAATCCCTTCAATGTTTATACAATTTCAAAGGCCCTTTGTCCAAAGATGCTCTGGAACAAATTTGGTCTTTGATTTTTGAAGATTTACCAATTTCCCCCCATTTGGCTCTGCCCTTTGTGGGGTGGGGCACATCCTCCATTTATTCAAAATTGAAGATTTTTAAAGATTAGCCTATTTAATCCTGCTCCCAAGGGGACCATACCTTCTGTTTATACAAAACTGAGAACCTTTTGGCCAATGATGCTCCAGACCAAACTTGGTCAAAATCCTCTGAGCTGTTGAGGGCTAAAATTGACGGACGATAGATGCTGCGCCATGGCATAAGCTCACTTGGCCCTTTGGGCCAGGTGAGCTAATTTAGTCTGTGTAATTAATATCTGCTCTTCCCACTGCACAAGAGCTGTTGTTTAAACCCCGAGGCTGCTACGCACTGCATATGCCGTTTCTCGGTCTGTAGGTTTTGACAGAACGAGAAACGGCATATGCCGTGCATAGCACCGACGGCCCGATAATGCTAAATAGCAAATGCTACGCGTAGCAGCCAAAGGGTTAAGACTGGAATTTGGCACGTAGTTCACTTAAATTACATTTCTTAAGAACTTGTTGGGAACAGTAACATGTGATTGGATAGATATTAACACCTTTGGTGATGCCCCAAGTGACCCTTCAAACTTTACACAAAGTGAAAATGTATATATAATACTTACCTCTTTGGTTGCCCATTGGAAGCCAACAACAACACTGTCCTTGATTTCAGCAAGGTACTGCACTCCCTTTGTCACATCTACACACAGATTTGGGCCAGTGCCTTCAGGTCCAAAGCTCCAGATTTTTCGAGCCTCAGTGGGGTCAAAGTTGTGTGTCTCAGTTAAATACTTTCCTCTTTCCTTGAAGTCTTGTCTTGGTGCGATCTTTCCCTGGAAATTAACCAACAAATTTTACAAATGTAGGCATTAGCAACAAAGTTATTGGTTGCACAGGGTTTAAAGCCCTATCAGCAGCTAATGCCATTTAAGGATGTGCCACATGCGTATTGTGCATGCGCTCGAGGCAGGGTATGCTTTTGTATCTGCCTCCCTTGAATATCAGGGATCTGATGCCCAATTCATAGTGCTATCTCGCCAAATTACCATGTCGAGGTTCCAAGCCAGAATTCTACATGGTCACATTATACTGATAGAGGGTGAACCAGTAGTTGCCATTACCCTAAATACTGAACGTAAAGCAGGGAATATGTTCTGGGGAAAATACCTATTGCCTTCGTCTTGGCAAAAGCCAAAAGTGAGGTATTGCCAATCACGAGCCTAAGGTTGTTACAAAAAGAGAAAAATATTATGGTTTACATTGGGTGCAGCAGATTTGTTTAAATCTCTTTTGTGTCCCCAAGTAGAGGGCACAAAAACCAAATCTGTAATTCTGCAGGGGGTTCCCACATTAGACGTCTCTTACAATCATGCAGTGGATTAGGGCAGGTATTTTTTTTCTCTCATTCCTCAACCTGAGGGAGAAACATACTTATCCCTACTTCCATCGAAATGTGCACAAGTAACAAGGTGACAGTCACAGTACCACACAAATATCAATAATGACAGTAGATTCATTTCAGTATCAACAAGAGGCCCAGAGGGCCTTTATCGTTCACCTGAATATGTTTAAAATGATTGGTATGAAGGAAAGATAAAGCACTCCATGGTAGGTGCTGTAAGTACATATGAAATTTCAGAAAGATCCATCCAGTACTCGAGATATGGCGAGAACAAACTTCAAACAAAGCCCCACCCCTATGCCCCTAGGGGGGGGNAAATGAAGTCCCCTTGGTCAAAGGATGCTCCAGTCTAAATAAAGATAAAATCCGTTAACCCCGATGGTCGAAGAAGGATTTTAAAGGTTTTACCTCTATTTCCATACAAAACTGGTTCCCCTTTACCCAAGGATGCTTCAGACCAAATATGGAATAAATCCTTTCATTCCTACAGAAAAAGAAGGATGTTCAAGAATTTGCTATGTTTCCCCTACTGGGCCCACGCGTGCGCCAGACCCACGGTTTATACAATTTTAAGTCCCCTTGCCCCATGGATGCTCCAGACCAAATTTAGTCAAAATCTACTTGGCCGTTCAGGACTAGTAGTGCTTTAAAGGAAAAGTTGATGGACGGACGACGCGGTATGACATAGGCTCACAATGGTCCTTTAATTTCTATATATTCAAAATTCATACATTGATGTACACGAGACCCCAGGTTCATGAAGTTCACTATTTTGGTAAAGCACCTTAAGAATGAAGAGTATTTGATTCTACCATATCTGGATATTGAGAAGAAGATTTTTGAAATTTAAGTCAATTTGACCCTTTTTTGGCCCACCCCTCAGGCCTGGTTATCATATAATTCAGAATTTTGGTTGACCTTTGGCCATGGATGGTTTCTGCAAAGTTTCATTGAAATTAGTTCAGGGGTTTGAAGAAGAAGTTGAAAATGTGAATTGTTTACGGACGCACGCCGGACAAAAGGCGATCACAATAGGTCACTTGAGACTTTGTTTCAGGTGACCTAAAAAAGGAAAGTTAATATTTCAATTGGCAGTTGCACAAGTCCTGAACTTCAGTGGTTTTTATGAAGAACAAACATTTCATAAATACCAGTTTAGGTAATGATCTCAATTTCCTCATCATTGGACAAAATAGTAGCTATGCATGACAGGAGGCGGTACTTCATTTTAACATTATTTTTGAATAGAGATACTCGAGTGAGAGAGGCTGAACTCAAAAACAAAGATTGGTTTAGATTATCACAAAGTAAGAATAATATTGTGAATTTACATCATCAATGTCTACAGCACAATCGGATGAAAGAGGCTGGGCTTTCATGTACAGTCTGTTGTGTTTGTTGGGCGACTTGGAAAGACACACATGTGAAGAAATCTCGCCAACAGTCTCTCTGTATGATACAACAGGGTCACTCTTTTTGATGGAAATACCAGCATGGTCTTCTTCAAGATCCTTCAAGCAGATCTCAAGATGGAGCTCACCAGCTCCGGCGATGATGTGTTCTCCAGACTCCTCTGTTGTACACTGAAATGATTCAACATTAGCAACTTCAATTTTCTTTACAAATAAACGAACATTTTAGTTTTGTTTAAATTGCTGCATTTGTTTTATCCGATATATAAGTCAATTTCTATATATTTAAAAGCCATACATTGATGTCAAACTTTTGGCACTCTTGATATGGATCCACCCAATTCAAATAAATTCAGGCTTTAAATACAAATGCTACATAAGCTAATTTCCTACTGGCAGACAATAGCAAAATCCTGAAACTGGTGCACAACAAAAAAAGATGGCCAACCCTCTTTGTTTCACCAGATGAAATTACTACTGCTGTGGTACTTGGGGTTTAAGGAATTGATGACTGAAGACATAAACAAATAACTAATGCAGATTTTTATTCGTGGAGACTTTCTCTCAAGACTTACCTGTACCATAGGATCAGATTTTGCGAGACGTTTCAGCCCTTCTACTAGTTTTGGCAATTCTGAAGGATTTGTACACTCGACAGCAACTCGGACAACAGGACTGACACTGAATTTCATCTGTTTCAAGTTGTGAGCTCCCTCGAAGGTGGTGAGTGTTCCGGTTTTCACCAAGAACTGGTCAACCCCAACGAGACCACAGATGTTTCCACAAGGCACATCCTCAATGGGCTCAATGTAACGACCCATCATCAAGATGGTCCTGAAATAAGTATTTTTAATGAACATTACCAGTGATTTTGTTTGCCCAGTTTTACTGCTGAATACAGGATGTTTCCCCTTGGGGGTTAATGCAGGAATAGAAAGTTGGGTTCCTTTTTTTGAAATAGGGTAAAATGGTGAATGTTCTAGATCTGTTGGCACATGACCTGCCGGCAGGGAGGGTGGCCTCTGGCTGGAGCCAGAGGGAGAAGTACGAAATGGACCTGGGGGGCATGGATGACATCAGCACTTTTAAAAGCTTCATAACAGTTTGAGCCCATGTTCACCATGTTTACCCAAGTTCCCTTTAAAAAAAAATTTGTATCCCAGGTATCATTGCACCACATGTACACCTTAGCATTCTAGAGATAATGTTGTCTTGATATTTCAACATATCTTTCCCTCATCTTGAGAGTACATCAAGGTCATTTATACAAGGAACCTTTATAGCACTCCTTTTCTGGGTCTTTCAGTTTTCAGTTCCAACAAGAAGGTTAACACAATGGAGGCTAAACTGTATCATCAACTAATAGACAGTAGGATATTATTATTTTTTACCTCTGGACGGTCTTGATATTCAGGTCATCCTTCTTTCCTTGTATATAATTGGGGCCCATGATTCTTGCCTTTTGTCCAGTGGCAATGCATCCAGAAAAAACACGTCCAAAAGCGTAGAAACGCCCCTTGTCTGTTGTAGGTACCATCTTGGAGACGTACATCATGAGGGGGCCCTTGGGGTCACAGTTTTTCATTGCTGCAAAAAACGATAAAACTTTTAAAAGTCGTTGCACAAACCTCCATCACAATCTTTCTTGCATAATTTTTCCACAAACTTGATTTCACCTCCACGGCAATACGAAATTCTGAAAAAAATCCTCCCTTGTTCAAGTCAACTTCAGTGCAGTTCCACATTCATCAGAACACAAGTGATTAACACCGATTGTGTAAACATGCATTTGGTATCCAATATTTTTTGCATCCCATTTTTGGAAATAGCTAGCAGTATCACGGAACAAGAACTCATTTGCTGTTAATCTTTATTACTATTTCACATGAAACGACCAAATTGCTGCAATTTCCAAACAAATATATGTTAGACTATGAGACTTAAAACAAGAGGTCGCCCATGGGCCTTAACGGTCACCTGATTTATGTAAAAACTGATGTTATCAACGTTGCCAAATGAAAAAGAAATCATTTTGTAACAAAGGTAACTTGAACTACATGTAATGCTTAAGTAGTGTAAAAGATCTGGGTAGTATATATACTATGTACAAATAGTGGTTCTGTCAGTCAGCTGAATTTTGGTAAAGCACCTCAAGACCTTTCCATAGATATGAAGAGTTTTTGATTCTACCAATCTGGATCTTGAGAAGAAGAGTTTTGAAATTTTAGTCAATTTGACCCTTTTTGGCCCCTCGGCCCTCGGGGCCATATAATTCACAATTTTTGCACAAGTCCTGAACTTCAGTGGTTTTTTTTTATGAAGAACAAACATTTCATAAATACCAGAATCTCGATTCCCTCATCATTGGACAAGTCTATTTTCTTGGTTTGATGTGATTAACACTCAATTTATTTATTTTGTATTGACAACTCTGGCACCATACTGTCAAACAGAACTTACCGATAGCAACTTCATCATCAGTTGGTCCTTCATACAGAGTATCAGTCCTGTAGTACTGAGCTGTTACTGGGGACGGCAGATGAATGACAATCATCTGGAGAAGGGCATCTCCAGCAGGCATCCACTTTCTCATGACAACCTGGAGGATCAAACAGATGCAACAGTAACAATAATACAAAATATGCTCTTAAAATCATTAAATTGAAATTTCACTCACTAAATTAGAAATAAAATGCAAAAATTTACTAGCAGAAAGAGGGACATTTGATTCAATACCTTTCAATTTTTCAGAAGATGTTGTTCAACACATTTGACCCCTTAAACCCCCTGTGACATTAAAGGCCTTCTTTGTTCTTGTTGGGCTCCACCAAAAGAAGCTTCCAGCCATATAAAGATTCTATACCTTATAGTTCTTCAGAAAAAGTTGTTTGAGGCATTTGACCCCTTTGATTTTGAAAGCAGGTCAAGGTCATTTTCTTTCTCTAATTTGTCTGGCTCTATTCCAGGGAAGCAACCAGTCAAATATGAAGATTCTATACCTTTCAGTTCTTCAGAAGAAGTTGTTTGAAACGTTTGACCGCTGTGACCTTGGAAGTAGGTCAGGGTCATTTCCATTCTCAAACTTTGATGGGCTTCATCCCAGGAAGCCACCAGCTAAATATGAAGATTATATACCTTCTAGATCTTCAGAAGAAGTCGCTTGAAGTGTTTGACCCATGTGACCGTGAAAGAAGATCAGTCATGTTTGTTCTCAAAATTTGTCGGGCTATATCCCAGGAAGCCACCAGCCAAATATGAAGAATGTTTACCTTTAAGTTTGTCAGGAAAAGTTGTCTAAGTCAGAGATCCACTTCGTCTTTGACCTTTGACCAAAATGACCTTGACCATTAATCCAGTGACCCTGATCTTTGGTCAGTTGTCTTATTCTTTTATTCCGACCAAATTTGCTTCATAATATCATAATAAAATGTTCATCAGTGAAAAATACAAAACTTGACCTTGACCCCGTAACCTGGACCTAAGGTCAGTTGACTGTGTTAAGTTCTGAACAAGTTAGCTATATAATAACATAAAAAAAGTTCATCAGTAAAAAGATACAATAATTGACCTTGACCTTAAGTCAGTTGATTCTTTGTTAAATTGCGACCAACTTTGCTTCATAAAGTCACAACAAAATGTTCATCAGTGAAAAGATACAAAAATTTGACCGTGACCTTGAGTCAATTGACTCCTTGTTTAATTCTGATCAACTTTGCTACATCATGTCATAACAAAATGTTCATTAGTGAAAAGATGCAAAATTTGACCTTGACCTTTGAACCTAATGACCTCGACTTTTTACTTCCATGTGTATTTTTGTGAACTGAATTTCCTGACCAAGTTTCATGTACATAGGTCAATAAATACCAAAGTTATCAGCCAGGAACAAATTTGTGGACGGACAGAGTGATTACTATAGGGCACCCATATCTCTGATAATTGACCAAATTATAATGAATTGAATAACTTAGTCTTAATTAATATAAACACATCCCTCTTCAAAAATCCAGAGTAATCTTAAAATTATGTCATACTGGACTACAGGCATTCAATCACAACAATACATGAAAAGCATGTCATGCATCGACATAAAGGCTTTACCTTGAGAGCTTGTCGACCTCGAATGTCAGAATTACATTAGAGAACCAGACGTTTTTATTAGATTCTCAAATAGCTTTGCAAAATTATCTTTTATAACAATTGCGGTATTTGAAATATGTATTGTCAAGTCAAATTCAAAGTACAAATAATCTCTTATTTTAATACTTAAAGAAACACCTGTAAAAGTAACATTTATACGATATGTTTATACCGTTTATGTTTCGTAAAAAGGGTTTATATAGGCTATGCCTGTTTGCCCAATTTCTTTTGTACACAAGATCAGTACAATAAAATATTCTGAAATGAATGTCATACATGTCACCCGCTCGCCAATGGCGATTAAAGTCTTGCTCGGGCGAGCAAAAGTTAGGTAGTCACTGGCCAAACAAAAATAGTTTGGGCGACTGTCGAAAAAATTATGAATAAAACAAATTAGTCCCTTTCACATTAACTGGGGGACAGTACATTTTTCAGTTGTCATTACTTTGATTTGAAACGAACTATCCATGATTTAGAAAATGTGATGCTTCCCAAAATTGCTAGGGCCAGTGTTTCAAACTTTTTACTCTCCCCAAAAATTGTTTGGGCCAGCCAAACACACCGACATGGTAAGTTATTTCCGACTGTACCTTGAGCAGGTTTTTCTCACGTAGGTCCTTCTCATCAGACGTAAGTTTAACTCCCATTTTTTCAACAAGTGTCAGGGCTTTGCTGTGTTCACCTTTCATACAGGTATTAAACACCTGAAAAACAAAGAAACTTCATAAACCTCATTACAAATGTTGCAAAATGTTTTAATAAAAATTGCATTCATGATCATCATCAACAAATTCTTGACTACAGTATGGGCATTTGTTTGATAAAACCAACAAGTGTTTATGTAACGTCGCATGTTCTTACAGAATCAAAATGTGAAACAACAAAATGGTCAAAAGATGTGCAATATTATTGGGTTAGATGCTTAATTCATTACCATGTGAATACAGGGAGACAAATATGCCTTACCAAGTAAATTGGGTCCAAGATGTATTTGACGAAACCTCGGACAGCTTTTCCATCAGATTCTTTGATCCATTTCTTGGCACCTTCATCAAAGAAATTGTTGCCCCACAGCTTTTTCATCAGCTTTTCCTGGTTCATCTTAAACTTGGTTTCATACCGAACAGCAAAATCCTTCAGAGTAAAGGCCCATCCATGAAGACCAGAACCAAATCCAACAGTTCCTTGTTGGGGATCAACCTTCAATAAAAACGTATCCATTATAAATCATTCAACATTCACATAGCACAAATACTGTATCCCTCAAACCCCTTCCAATACAAATGATTTTCATCATATTCCTTGATGGTTAAAATGTTTTCCGGCCCCCCCCCCCCCCATTTATCCGACCTTTGACCTTGGGAACAGGTAGAGGTCCAAGTGCACTGTACATGCGAGTGGTACAAGTGACATCATACTGTTTACAGCCTAAAAAATGAACCTGCATTTAAACTAAATACGTCACTTTTTCAGCTTTGACAAGCTTTTATTCTCTACCATCACAGAGGAATTCTTTCTACTGAAAACATGCAGACAAATCACAAAATGACAAGTTATTTGATATTCATGTTGCCTTGTCCAGGGTTGGGACGACTCATGATAAAAACAGCCATAAAAGTCACTCTGGAAAAAATCTTACATCAATAACACCAAGGGGACTATCCTCCGAAGAGACCATGTTGACGATAACATTGACATTCTCGATGATTCTTTGAAAGTTCTGGTAGAGCGATTCCTGGTCAACCTGCAGGGTAAGAAGAGCAAGGTCCATCTTGTTCATGAACAGAATTGGACGAATCCTTTCAGCAATGGCTTGTCTCAGTACAGTCTCTGTCTGTACACACACTCCTACAATTAAAACATTTAATATCATCTAGTCTGTGCATTAACTTGAGTAAATGATTTATCATTCACATTTTCAGACAGATCTGTTTTCTGCTTTACCTGGTGTCTCTTTAACTTGGGTTTTATACTGAATAGAACAAGACAATTCAGTGAATAATATTCCCCCCCGAATGAGATGAAATGAGAAATTTGTGCAGGAACTAATTCTACATATGAATGTTTGACAGACCCACTGTATTCAATAAGGAATAATGTCAGTGCTACTATTGTAAATAAATCTGGTGGATGTTAACTCTTAGGCTGCTACGCGCCACAATAGTGGTTTCAATAAGTCAGTGCTGCGCACAGCAATTGTGGCGCTCGGTCTGTAGGTTTTTGATCAGTAAACAGGAAGTGTGAAAGCTGATTGTTGCTATACCAAACAAGAAAGCGTATAGTAGAAGGCTTCTGATTGGTTGTTGTCATTACTTTCGATATTCCCGGCAATGTACCCTACCTTGGTAATAACCAAAGGTGTGCGAGAGAATTTCAATTTGGAAAAAATGTCATAAAAATGGCGCGGACGTGTAGATTGAAGTGATGAATATGATGGTAAACATTTATTCTCCAGCGTCACCTACCATGATAATAAAGGTTTTGAAGGGTTTGACATGGTTGATGTGGAAATATTTCGTTGTAACATAATATGTAACTTTCCAATGAACGGCTTTGTGCCCTACGCAATCATCGGCAGACCGAGGCTCACATGTCGTCTGCAGGTGAGGCCCAATTGAACATTGACATGGATACGTTTTGAGCCGATTGATTGCTACCAACTTTTTATCGATGATTTAATCATAAACTAGACCGTAGCCGAGATATATCTATATGCCGACTGTGACAGTAAATATATAGAACGACAACCTGAAACCTATAGCAAATCACATGCAATTCTTGACGAAATACCTGACCTTTTTACCAGAGAATCTCCCGTGTAAATGTACAACGTCTTATGTCAAAAATAAAGTTTATATTCTCCGTTATCATTTGCCAATCACATTTGCAGACAAAAATAATTTTAAAATGATCTTTCTGGTGCTTAAATCCGATTAATTAAAAGTTTCACCTTTTTTTTTACCAGCTGTACAGGTAAATACTGAAGCAACTTTAGAATTGAAAACGTCAATATAAACTCGAGACAAGGAACAATTTTCATGTAACTTTTTTTCCACATATAACAAATATTTTTCAAATTATGCACATTTGAAAAATCAATCAAATTAATTTAAATTTTCAACAATTAATTCAGCAGTGGTATCCCTTTACGTAGAAATCAATGTAGCAGCCTAAGGGTTAATTGCTTACTGGTTAGTCCTGTTTTACTATTAAATAGCATCTGGTGACACTATGTATGCTGCTTCTTCTTCAATGCAAGTGAACCCATGCCCCAAACAAGAAGTTCCAGTAACTAGTAGTGTAGGAAACAAAGAGCCTGGACAAACTTTTTCTTTGATGCAGGTCAAAGGTCAAAATATATGTTTGAGTGACCTACTTTTAATACACGTCACACTGCCTCACCAAGGTGAACCCATACCCCAAGTATGAAGTTCCAGTGACAAGTAGCGTAGGAAATGGAGCCCTGACAAGATAGCGGACACGACGCAAAACTCTAGCCCCCCCCCTCGGTTCTCAATGGGGGTGGGACGACTAAAATCCTTCAAAGTCAAGGCCAGAACCAAATCCATTTCGGACAGAACATGACAAACGACATCTAGTCAAAACTCACTTTCAGGGGAAGAAATGGTAACAGAACTGTGAAGCCCCCAGTATTTATTCTAAATTAAAATTTTCGGCCGTTTCAATACCCTAGACAGAAATTCTTTATTTTCCAAGTATCATTGCAAAAAATCACTTAGTTTTCCAAACAATTATATACTTTTTGTGCATGATATTTTCCCCAAGTCACAAGGCCCCTGTTTAACTCACCGGAAACACAGTCCACTACAACAAGTGCACCGTCAGTTACACGCAGAGCTGCAGTCACTTCAGATGAGAAGTCAACGTGGCCTGGTGAATCAATTAAGTTGATCAGGAAGCAATTTCTTTTTTCTTCATTTTCGCCATATGTTTTCTGTTTGATATACTTCATATCCTCCATGGCCAACTCGTAGTACAATGAGATGGCACTGTAGAGAAAAAATATATATTAAAATCCAAGACTATTTAACAAATAGTTATTCTCAAAATCGTTCAATGGATAATTTCTATATGAAGATCATCAGAAAACTTCAGAATAAGTAAAAATTTACTGACCTTAACTTTGCTTTTGTTTAGGGATCCTTGAATATTTTTTGTTTTACAAAATTCGATCTAAAATAGTAGGAAAATGGCTCTGAAGAAACTACTATGAATTACTCAATTGAGATCCAAATTAAAATTTCAAACTATTCTTGAAAATCCTTAATTTTAATTGCAAGACATACGTGGACTTGATGGTGATACAACGTTCTTGTTCATCCTTTCTCGTGTCTGTGAATCGTGCTTCTCCTGCCTTTGAACCAGCAATGATGCCAGCCTTGCTAACCAGGGAGTCCGTCAGGGTAGACTTGCCATGGTCAACGTGAGCTATCACGGACATGTTACGGATGTTTAATTTGTTGTCCATGATCGCACGGATCTGGTCTACTGTAAAATTCACCTGGAAAATAAAGTCATGCAATGGAATGAATAGTGTGCTAAGAAATTATACAACTGATTTGATCCGAGTTTCACAGATAAGAGGCATCACGATTCACTTGTGCCGCGATTATTTATGTTCGATTCACGATATATTTTTCAGGATTTTCGATACGTCACGATCTGAAAATTAGTGTTTGTTACTTCAGCCGAAACGTTCAATTTCATTGGCTGGTCTCTAAACCCTCAACCAATCGGCTGTGAGGATGCAATTTTCACAAAGCATTCTTAACAAAATGGCGGACCGTGGCAAGGAAATGAAAATTTATGATGCTCCGGTTTCCGTGTATCGACGGCAAAGTGGACAAATCACAAACTTTTTGCCAGATATGTCTGTGTATGCAAGCCTACAAATAGGGGCAAACTATACAAACATGGCGTCATATCTCAGCAGTTTCATCAGTTGTTGAACTTTTTTATTCTTAGTTTGTTTCAATATAAAATTGAAGTGTTGGAAAGTTTATATACCTCATTTTGTTTATATTTTATACAAAGGTGTATTGAATCAAAATAATTGAATCGTGGTACAAATATCGAGATACGTATCGAAGGTTAAGTGTATCGTGACAGCTCTAGCAAATATTTTGAAGAAAAAAACACATCAGACTACCGATGGTCAGTGGTCCAATGTTTTTTTCTTTTCAAAATTGATCATTATTCCAATCTGATTAAAATCATCTGTTACATGGCTCCACCTGAACATCTGAATGTGCCGTGGTCAGGGTCACGTTTAAGTGACCTTTAGATGAACCAATCAGAGGCACACTGGCAAAAGTTTGCCAGCGAATCGGAATATCATGGTTGATAGATAATTAGCGAGGGGTATCGAACAGATTAGTTTTCAAAAACAAATATGGCGGTGGGAACGGATGTTTCTACGATGACAAGGAAAACGTTCCCATTGGGTAATAATTGCATAGGCAACACCGCCATACAGTCTTTCTTCTCTAATAAAGCTTCAATTATCTTTTTCTGTTCGGGTTTCAGACGATCTATCTCAAATAACTTCAGAACTTTCGCATCATTCTCACCAATGTCCGCCATATTCGTTACAACTCCGAGCGCTCTTTTGAAAAAGGGTCTCTGATACGTCAAAATTTAATGAGTATTTATAAACATAAAGGTCACCTGAAAGTGACCCTGACTGCGGCACACTCGGATGTTCAGACGTAGGACGAAGTTAACGAAGCCATGTAACATAGGATTTTAATCAGATTGTCATTATTCCAAACAATCATCTACCCCCATATTGAAGATTATTTTTAGAACAGCTGGGTTCTAATTGAGATCGCCAAGGCATTCAAGTCTTACAAGTTCTGATATAAAGAGCTTAAAGGTCCGGTTGAAATGAAGAGACATGCACCAGTCGATTGGCCAATCAGATTTGCTTCTGTCAAATTGACTTGTAGACAACAAAAACATGTGTACCAGTTTACTTTTTCCTCACGATCGAGTTGTTTTCGTAATTATAATGCTGAAAAGTGCTAGGAATATCGGAGTTATTTTGATATTTTTAATTATTGTGATACACATATATAAATCCAACGAGCTTATTAGTTTGTGGCTGCTAAAACATCATAGAGTAACCATTGTTAACATTTATCAAATTGGTCGGAAGTAATTTTGATTGGCTAGTGTGCCCTATTGTTGAAGGCAAGATGGCTGTCGATGTGAGCAGTCGAAAGCACCTCAATTGAATAAAACGATGTAGAGTCCATATTGTATCGATTACGGAAATGACATCTAGTCAAGTGAGCGAGAAATGAATAAATTGAAATAAAGGTACAATTATTTTCAACGACAAACATGTATAACTCTCACATTCGCCAGGTTTGGGCGACAATCCCCACGTTTTATAGAGCGGTCAATAGCTGACCATAAACAGGCGACCGATCAGAATTTTTTGAGCCTGCGATTATGGTCAGTTTTAGCGGACTAACGCGCACCATCCTGATCCACTTTTTCACCGGAATCTATAAAATCATTGTCACAACCCGAAAGGCGTATTTTGATACAATTTGAGGTGAAAGAGTAAACAGGTCTGCCGACACATTTATTTTCCGATACCAATGAATGATTTTCAGTTAACATTGTTGAATTGACAGTCATAAATGTATGTTAATTCAAGCTTCCGGTATATATTTATAATCTAGAAAATAAGGTTATCAATTTGCGAGAACTTGATTTATGTCGTACATATGCTAGTGCAACAGTCAACAGTAAAATGGTGGCCCACAAATTCTGACACTCGTGATATTATTCAGCAGATTTTTAAAATATAAATCAAAAGTTATACGAAGATTCCTTGCAACAAGTTTGAGATATATATGTAATAATAATGGTTTTATAATGACATCACATCCTTCAATCTTGTATCTGTCAAAATATACAAAAATGGCACACTTGTTGTGCAATATGAAAACGTGCCATGATCACGAGATGACGTAAGTTATTATTAAAAGCTGCTGGATAGGTTTTTAGTGAATATGAAACAAAATAAACACAGCACTGTGGACACATTTAATTAAAAATGTTTCAATTGAAACAGTAAAATATCAGTTTCTGAGACGAGTCGACCGAAACCCGGTCCTATTTACGTCATTCAAAAGCAGTTGAAAGAAAAGTGTTTATTTAATATAACTACTTAGTTCCAAGGTCTTAAACGAATAGAATCATTAGTACGAGACCCATAGAAGCTATTTTTCACAAAATCATGATTTGATGGCCTCTTACCATTTTGATCGAGTCTTGCTTGGACAATCTAGCAAATAAGCAGCTGTCCTCTTAGAACGACTCGACGGAAGAGGATAGGTGTAGTCACGTGGGTTATTGCGAAAAGCCACGTTGTGCTTTAGAAGGGATAAAGTCAGAGAAATCCGATTGTTAACACAATATAATTTCAAAAAAATGTTATTGGGGTAGAATACGATTAAATTGGTAATTTGCAATTGGTCGTGCGAAGTAATGATCATTTAAAAAAAGTTTGCATTTTATTTTCTTCGGAGCTGCTTCCGTCGCGAAATCAACGGCAGATGGCAGCACCAGAATTTACATGTCCGCTCGTCTATTATCATATATCGAAAATGCTGCAGTGCAAAATATATTATCATATTGTGCCCTATTGATGTGGATATGGAATAAATAAGCTAACCGTTTTTCATACTTTGGTAAGTGAATACAAATAATTCATAAGAATGGCCATAATACTTTCACAGGTAACGGGTGATGTCATTATCATTAGAAACGTCTGACATATCGTTTATCAAGTTATCGATTTTCTTCCGACTCTTGGCAGTTATTGCATGGGATGGCGATTTTTAAACCATGTCATGTTAATAACATTGATAGTTACTGTGGGGTTGCTAATTTCTCACCTTAGTTTATAGATAGATAATGAAATCAAGATAATATTGAATACATTCTGTCTAGTTTGACATTTCCAAATGCTTGATACAGAAAGCCGGTTTCAGTAGGTCTACACCATTTATACATTGGAGCACATGGACCTGAGAGTTTGTTATAGCTATATTTGACCTGAACTAAAGTGTTCAGCGTAATTTTACATGTTTAAGGGGTTTAGATCGACTTTGGGTAAAAAATGACCCCCCCCCCCCCTCCCCCGATGATCATATATATACGACAGGTTCAGTAAACTCTGCCGATTGAGCTATAAAGACCTTTTAGGAGGCAGTACCCAAATCGGATCCGTACCCAATTGCTGATATGGCATCGTCGAAAGCTAGTTCAAGCTTGTGGTGATGCATCATTGTTATTTCATTCACTTGCGACTTACTTTTCGGTTGCACACTTATTATTTCCTTTATCATAGCAGTGTAGCAATGTCTTTAATAATAATGTGATTTAAAATTTTAAAAACAATTCCACTCGTTTTTCCCCATACGTGTAGATAAAAGGGGTTGAGCCCTTCCATTGTAAAGTTTGCATAAAAACTCAATCCCTATATATTTTTAGGTGAGTCACTTGATGTTAAGTAATGTATTGGAATGATAGATCCACTCTTAATACCAAAATGATGGGTTAAATTTCCTCAGGTGATTTCTCCAGCACTTGTTAAGTCTTTCCTTGAAGCAGTTTAGGCTCGGTGCTGAGAGCCTGAGACCACTTCCTCAGGCATTGAGTTCCACGTTTTTAATAGTGCAATTGCTGAAGAAGTTTCCTGTGATCTGTTTTTTGTAGGGCCTTTTAAACAGCTTCTTGGAGTGCCCCCTTGCAGATCTGTATTCACAGTGTTGGAATAGTTTATCCTTGTCAAGTTTGTCGATGTTATTAAGGATACTGTACACTTTGACCATGTCTGCTCTCTCCCTCCTGTATTCCACAGTTGTTGACAAATTATTATCCGTGGTTATAAGGCCTTATCAACCAGCCAATACTTTTCTCAACTCCCGGGGGAGCATACAGCCGGAGCTGCCATTTCAGCGCTAACAGCTAGCATTCAACATTTCTAGTACTGCCCAACCACATACTCATTTACAGCTGAGTAGACTGGAACAACCGAAGTAAAGTATTTTGCTCAAAGATACGACACATTGCCGTGCCGTGGCGCGAACCCGCAACCCTTCAGTCATGAGCCCGGCGTCCTACCACTGGAATGAATATAATTCCTCCTCAGATTTTTTAATGATTTAATAAAATGATGGTTTGGTGATCCTATATGGGTACTGTCACCTTATAGCTATATTCACCTATAAATTATAGCCGTATTGAGCTTTATTTTCTTGGATTTAAATTTTTCATTAAATGTAAGCAAAGGCACATAAAACAGGTTTATGGTAATGTTGACTACAAATAGCATACAGCTAGATGTTTATTTTCATTTTTCATAAATGTAAAATTTCAGATTTTTTTTACATCATTTCTTAAAAAGAATACTTACATTTAATGTCTTTTGTTATCAACCTAATGATACAATCTTCTTTTAAAAGCGACTTTGTTCTATTCCTTTAAAAAGAAAATCACTTGAAAATAGCTCGAAAGCCCTATTTCAGATAGGTCAATAGATCGAGCTATTATAGGTCTTTACAGCTATATAGCTCAATCGGCAGAGTGTACTTGACCTGTACGAGAAGGGCAGAAAGCTCTATATGTCGAAAAGTCGACCCCCACCTAACTTTCTTGCATCAAAAACAGCAAAAATGCTTAGTACCGTTGGAAAAAATGGATAATTTTTCTTTTTAAAACCTCCTAAATGCACGTAAAATGTATTCTCCTTCTGTGGACATGATCTCCGTTTCCTCCAAAAACATGCCCCATTTCAGAGTTTCAAAGTTTTTCTCAGTCTTACCAGGTATATAGCATCCTCGATACATACAGGGGTTACGCTCACTATCGCTCTTTGCACCCCTGGAATATGTCATTGCAAAATTGAAGGCATGCAGCTAGCTATTTGAATGGTGTCGGGTGAAAAATCCTGACCAATCACTAGGCTGATACTTGTCCTTTGAAGATTACAGAGGAGCAACGCTCAACTTCATAGGCAATAAGTTTTACTGTTACACATCGGGAGATTCTTTTGATGTACATCAAAGGATAAAACTAGCCTTCTTGTCTCATCCACAAGGTGGTGTACACTGAGCCTTCGATTTTGCTATGACATATTCCAGCGGTGTAGCGAGCGAAAGTAAGCGTAACTCCTGGATATCGAGGATGACCAGGTAGTCTCTGGAAACAGACTTTGTAAGCACATATTAAGTACAATTTTAATTTTGAATTCCCATGTCAGATTTGTTGAAGAATTCACAAAACATACATATTTGTGAAGAAGAGTTCCTTTTCAGAGCTGTTTTGTCAACTTTATGAGGAGTAGAAAGGGGCTTTGAGTTATTTTCCTTGTCATTGTATTAATTTCTCATTTGAATAAAATGGGCCTAACATTCTGATGATAATTTGAGTTTGTTGTTATTGAAACCTTATATTAAATCTCTCTGTCTCATTTTAGAATTCTTTGATAGCAAGGTATTTATAAGGTGTAGGAGTGGATAGGTCTTAAGTTCACTCTTTGTAGTTTTTTCATGTATAAATATAAACTTTATTTATTTTACAACAATTATGAAACAAGTTATTTCAACTTATATTAATCACTCCTGTTTGCCCGGATGTAAGCAGGCTGAGGGTCTAAATGTGGGAGGAAACCAGAGTACCCGGAGAAGACCCACGTGGTCGGAAAGGTGACCTCATACCTTTTCACTCGACCACCAAGTGTTTTCATGTATGTGGTCATAAGTCTCAAATAGTATATAACATAAAAATGATATGCTTTTCAAGATAAAGCTGCAGAAAAAAATAATGCTGATGTTTCAACAGGAGGTATCTTATATGTTTTAATAGCGTTTGATATTCACTTCATATTCAAATATTGACCAGAATTTCATGTAAAAGCTTACAGTGCAAGTTAAAAAGCTTTCAATTGAGATAAAAAAAAATCTGTTTTTGAAATCTTCCCCAGTGACCATCTCTTCAGGCTATCATTTTTATACGCCCGTGAAATTTGGGTATTATGGTATGGGTTTGTTCGTCCGTCCGGCGTAATTCTGATTCAATAATTTTTCCAAAAGTTATTGCCCTTTGTTCATTTCAGTATTTGATTTTTGTCAGGCAATCTCCTCCTACATTTTTCGACCGATCTCTTTGAAAACTTGATATACATCTTAATCATGATATTAAGTTGTGTCTCCCTTAAAAGAATTTTGATTCGACGATTTTTGCAAAAGTTATTGCCCTTTGTTTATTTCAGTATTTGATTTTTGTCCGGCAATCTCCTCCTACATTTTTCTACAGATCTCTTTGAAACTTGGTATACATTATAATCATGATATGAAGTTGTGTCTCCCTTAAAAGAACTTTGATTCGACGATTTTTGCAAAAGTTATTGCCCTTTGTTCATTTCAGTATTTGTTTTTTTGTCCGGAGATATTCTCCTACATTTTTTTATAGCATGTCAGCTAACCACTCTTAGAATGATGCAGATCTTATTTCAATGAAAGAAAGTATATAACACTATATGACATTCGACGGGCGTATATTGTTCCGCCCCGCGCACTCTTGTTAAGGAAGCGGCTACATTTCAGTCAGTCCTTGCTTTGTAATCGCTGGGTATAAAAAGCGCATTACCTGTCAAACCAGTTCATAGGAAAACAGCGACAACATCAAACTGGTTATCATTCTACCACTGACCATCTTATAATTACTATACGATTCAATACACTGCCCACCTTGATTGGCAACCGATCTGAAAAATCACACTCGGTAACCTGAAGACTTTGAAACACTGCCAAGCCTGTTGTTACTATAATTATGGCACGTTCTCGGAAATTGTGTATCCAAAATAAAAGATACATGTGTATCACTGAAAATACTTCAAAAAATCCCATATATACCATCAGTCTTTCACAGGGGGGGGGGGGGGGGGGGGGGGTAGAAAAATTGTGCATAAGACATTTTATAACTTTTGTTATTGTGGCAGGGAGAGATCAAATAAAGAGAGATGTCATGCTTTGATTACAATAGATATGTTGGCCACAGTGAGTGGTTAAGGAAGTTCACAATCCTTTCTCCCCTGAGTTGAGGGTGGGAGGTGAAAGTATGTGGGACAGTCACCAGTACTTGCTGCAGATTGGTAGTCTTTCTCCAGCTGGCCCATTAGGAATTACATACGGAGAAATATCCTCACAATGGGGAAAAAAATACCCAATTTCTGAGAATATTTACCTACTTTCAGTAAATTTTCCCCATATGCAATTAAATTTCACCTGGCCAGTTAAATTTCCCTTTTTACCTGTTAACTTTCCCTTTTTACCCGTTAACTTTCTCCCTTTCCACTAAATTTCCTTGGTGCAGTTAAATTCCCCTTAATCTAGTCATGCATGTGTGATCATGATCACCAGTTCCCCCAAAATGCCAGTTTACCTGTGTTTTGGTCTTATGGCCAGCAGTGGTCACACTCGAGTGATCACTTTAATACTTTGCTCCCCAAGTACTAGTTTGTTCATCTATATGTCTATATGTTCATGTTCTACCAGTGATAAAGTTTGCATGGCATTCATTAGTAATTCTTGGATATTAAATGTAAAACAAACAAAAATTGAGACTTATATTTGACTTGTTGCAGAAAATGAATGCCAACACTTGCAAACATGATGTTCATGTAGTAAAATACTCATTTCAACATGTGCTCTGTGATTGTATTTAAGTTTTAATTATTTTTTGTCTGGAATACTTTCACTCGACTTTCACCTTTAACTATTGGATATTAAATTGTTCAAAAGAGCTGAAATTTTGCACAATGCATGTGTGACAAATCAGAAATGTACCTAGCTAACAATTATTTTGATCCTAGCAATGTTTTTGATGATATATATCAGTTAACTTGTCATAGATCTATTGATATGCAGACAACATTGTACAGCACATCATTATCTATGACTACGTACGTATACCAATATTGTTGATTTAACACTGAATATGGACTGTTTATTTATCACTATCAATCGGGTCATTTTAAGATGTTCGGGATCAGGACACAGTTAATAATCAATACCAAAATTTTGCAACAGTGTGTTCCTATATGAATGGGGAAATATAGCATTATTTTTATTGAAACTGGAAAGATGTTCCTTAATTGTTCTACATTTTTGGGAATATAAAGCACCTTTTTGCAGGGAAGCAGCCTGTATTCAGTTGTAAAACTAGGCAAAAATATTACAAAATGTATTTCACATGTGTATGTTAATTATATACATGTATTTGCATGCTAAATGTTTTTCTAATATATAATCACTATGAAACTTTTTTCAGTACGATACTTCCTAACAATTTCTGCTAAAGACAATGGCACTGGTCCTTTTTTCTGCAACATAATCTCAGCTTTATGTACTGTAGGTGAAATCTGAACCAAAATCTCCACTATACAATTAATGAACACAATAGCATACATACAGATATTTAGTGGACAGCTACAGGAAACACCATTATTCCACTTAAGCTGAAATCCTAGATACTGACACCTGATCAGCTGATGTGTTTTGAGCACTTTAGCAAAGTCTGCGGCAACATGTACAAACAATTATAAAATTGTGTGTTTACTGTTATAATGTAGATATCACTTGATTATTGCTCAATCATTTACCTGCCCATAGTTCTATTGATAAGCTTTGTTTCGCACTACCTTGATACGCAAATATTTGCGAATGTGTGCTTGAGGTTATTTTGATAAAAGCTGGGATTAAAGAGTTGGCATTAATTAGTTCAACGTTATAATAAGACTGATTTTATAGTTGAGTTGGGAGCTTGAGGAATCATAGTAAATGTAACAACATTGTGGGCAGGATGTCAATGAAGGTTGGGGTGGTACTTTAGTAGGGACAAGTAGCTATAGCTATAGTGTTGGGAATCGCTTCAAAATACATGATTGATCATCACTAATTGTCCGACAATCGATGAACGTCAATCTATCATAAAATAAAACCCAAGATATTTAGAAAAGCATTCACCAAAATGTGTAAAATGTGATGAAATCTTTTTAACTTCCATAATTAGGCAGAAATGTTGTATATTTGAAGTATATAGGGTTAGATTAATGATACATTAGCATAATGATTCACATTTTAGACTGTATTGATGAAAATAATTCTTCTTGGTAATTTCAGGACTGAGGTTTGTGGACAAATAAACACAACACAATGTCTGACCAGGAGGAGGAAGTGATGATGTCAATACCGAAGATCACTAACCCCAAGGACAGTTATGATCCTGATATTGACGGTGCATGTGGCGGAGGGGAGCCTTTTCGGTCCCTTTCCCCTGGAAGTAACTCTGTTGACAATTTGAGCATGGAGGTTCAATTTGAAGAGGAGAGCTCCCGGCATCCCAGTGAAATTAGTTCTTTGTCCTATCAGAATTTGTTAGAGGACGGGGAAGGATCAGGTCATATATTGTCTCGACATGAAAGTGAAGACAGTAACGATTCATTCCCTCCAGATTATAGTGACAACTATTCTAGTGAAAATGTCGGCCGGGGTCAAACTCTTTCTGACCTTCCTACAGAAATTAATGTTAAGTACAGAGAAAAGTTTAGTATGGGGACTACAGAACGGACTGGTGACCTCAAGTTGGGTAATAATTTCAAAGTCGGAGAAAGAAATGAAATTGTCATGAATAAAATGCCAATTATTGACAGTCATGATATGATGGAGGAAATTGATTTGGAGTCAAAGGATATAGTTAGTATGCATACATTTGACGTGGATGAAATTCCACAAAGGGAAAGAGTAAAAAAACGCAACAGTCTAGAAATCAGAAACAACATCCCTGTAGTTGGTGAAATTAAGAGTTATGATAAAGATTTAGATCCCCACACTTACTCCTCACAGGGCGCCAAACCAAAAATACGCAAGCAGTCCCCTGGGTTAGCATGTCGTGTTGGTGATGGATCTGGGGGAAGTGGCAGTGACAGGGAGGGGTCTAGCTCAGACCGGGAACTAGAACGGCCAGTCAAAAAGCCAAATCTACAACCCCTAGGGAATGCCCTAAATCCGCATTCTAACACATGTCCAGTGCATACTAGTGATGATAAGATAAAAAATATGGACCTGATGAATGTGGTGGTAAACCCTGCTAGTAGCATAAGATCAGCCGTAGAGGAAATGTCTAATGGCTCAGGGGGACAGACAGGGCCGGGACCAGATGTGGAAAATGAATACGACTATGTTAAATATTCTAGGATCCAGGATGGGGATTCATATGTTGGAATGCGACTAGCTTATTCCAGTACTGATGAAGGCATGAAAAGGAATAGTTTAGAAGTGAACGGTTTTAGCAATAACTCTATCATTGATATATCGCGTGAAGGATCGCCTGAGAAGTCTTTAGTTCTCCACAAGCTAGACTTTTCTGCTCCAAATGTTCCACAAAAGGTAAACGAGGATACTCTTACTGAGATCCCATTGAATACTGTGGAAAGCATTCATGGAGAAGACAAGCAGGCATTTTCTCTGTCGCCTGAGACAACAGAATGTGATAGCGTTGAAGTGGAGAGTGTGACATCAGACGGCGACAAATCAAATCTAGGAATGCCATTGGTTGAGGACGGGCTGTCTAGTAGCCAGGCAAGCGACAATGAGGATTATGTTCCGCCCTCCAACCAGGTACCCAAGTCTCCGACTGCCATGTTGAGGAAAAAACAGAAGTCAGACATCGAACAGGAAATGTTAACAACTCCTAAAGAGGACTCAAAGCACAAACAGCTGGATGCGGAAGCCATCATGGAGGATCTGAAGGCAAAGAGAGAGGCTCTTGATCTAGCTATCCATGACATCAAGTCGGCCATACAGAACAGCAAGGGCATTTCTCTCAAATCACCTTTCAAAGAAAATAACCAGGAAGAGGAGCCAATTTGGGTTATGAGGTACTGTATATATAAGTAAATCATATTGTAGGCCCTAGATTATACATATCACAGGTAGCTATAGCCCAGTCTGTCCGTCCGTCATCAACTTTTTACTTTAAACAACTTCTTCTCATTAACCAAAAGGTTTAGGATGATGATATTAAGTCAGTAGAATGCTGGGATGAAGGGCTACCAAGTTTGTTCAAATAAATAACCTTCATCCATTTTCATGGTCACAGGGGTCAAATATGTTAAAATCTTTTAATGACTTTTTCTGAATAACCAAGAGGCCTAGGGTGATGAAATTTGGCCAGTAACATGCTGGGATGAAGGGCTACTAAGTTTGTTCAAATGAATGACCTTGAATTATATTCAAGGTCACATGGGTCAAGTATGTTGAAAACTGTAAACGACTTCTTCTTTATAACCAAAAGGACCAGGTTGATGATATTTGGCCAGTAACATGCTGGGATGAAGGGCTACCAAGATTGTTCAAATTGATGACCTTTACCCATTTGCAAGGTCACATGGGTAAACTATGTTGAAATATGTTAACGACTTCTGAATAACCAAGCGGCCAAAGAGATGATATTTGGCCAGTAACATGCTGGGATGAAGGGCTAGGCTACCAAGTTTGTTCAAATGAATGACCTTGAATTATGTTGTCAACATTTGTTGCACAATGCTATCAGTTCTGAAACCAACAATTAATAATGACAACTGTAATAACATAGTATGTGCTCTAGATGGAACATTTGCAGTACTCTTTTAAAATATATTTGAAATTGATATGTGCATCTTATTTCAAATGCTATCCTATGAAGACGATCAAGCTGAACATATGCTATACAGTTTTTGGTTTTTTTGAAGAATTTATGCAATGGAATTAGAGGAAAAATAATGTAACTCTCCTAATCTTGTGTGTGTGTGTGAGTATGTATGTTTATATTTTGTTTATCTTATTAAATATTGAAACAAACAACAATGTATCATATTGTTTTAGAGTGCTTTTTTATCTTATTTGTTCCTTGGAACACTGATGCAAAACAATTCCATTTTTCATAAGTAGAGACCTTGTCACTGCAGTGAATATGCATGTTAAACACTGTATTTAAAAGCTTTTCAAAATTTTTGACAGACTTATAAAGTATGGGTATACATAGCAGTCATCCACTTGTCTGTCCACAATTTAGTTTCAACAAGTTAACATCCTTCAATATTGTTCAGTTTTAATGAAACTTGGGTTGTGTATAAACAATATACACAGACTGATGTAAAATTGAAACTTGAACAAAATTCACACGTATTAAAAAGCATGCATACCCTGGTCAATGTCCACACTTTACAAGATAACTTGCTTGAATATATATTGATCAATATACAAACTTAGATGATAAGTTCAAAGTTGAGTGAAATCCATGCATAATTAATTAGCAAACTGCACGGATTGGTTAATGGTTTTTGCCAAGTAACTTTGTCAGATAAGGTCAGATTCTGATGAAACTTGATAAATATCTTATTCAACAACAAAGGCAAAGTTCAAAGTTCATGGTATTGTTTTAGCTCACCTGCCCAAAGGGCAAGTGAGTTTATGCCATGGCGTGGCGTCCGGTGTCTGGCATCCATCAACCTTTCCTAAAAATTGGTACTAGTCATAAACGACTGAGCAGATTTTGACCAAATTTGGTCAGAATCATCATTAGGGGAAGGGGAACAAATTTTGTATAAATGGTGCGTCTGGCCCCCCTGGGGAGAAACATAGCAAATTCTTTAAAATCCTTCTCCTTCTGTAGGAATGAAAGGATTTGAGCCTGAGCGGCGGGGCCCAATAGGGGAAACATAGCAAATTCTTTAAAATCCTTCTTCTTCTGTAGGAATGAAAGGATTTGTTCCATATTTGGTTTGAAGCATACTTGGGTAAAGGGGAACCAATTTTATATAAACTGTGGGTCTGGCCCTCGAGGGGCCTGAGTGGTTGGGCCAAATATGGGAAACATAGCAAATTCTTTAAAACCTTCTTATTCTGTAGGAATGAAAGGATTTGTTCCATATTTGGTCTGAAGTATCCTTGGGTGAAGGGGAACCAATTTTATATAAACCATGGGTCCGGTCCCCCAGGGACCTGAGGGGCAGGGCCAAATAGGGGAAACATAGCAAATTCTTTAAAATCCTTCTTCTTCTGTAAGAATGAAAGGATTTCTTCCATATTTGGTTTGAAGCATCCTTGGGTAAAGGGGAACCAATTTTGTATTAACTGTGGGTCTGGCCCCTTATGGGCCTGAGAAGCGGGTCCCAATAGGGGAAACATAGCAAATTCTTTAAAATCCTTCTTCTTCTGTAAGAATGAAAGGATTTCTTCCATATTTAGTCTGAAGCATCCTTGGGTAAAGGGGAACCAATTTTGTATAAACTGTGGGTCTGGCCCCTTATGGGCCTGAGCGGCAGGGCCCAATAGGAGAAACATAGCAAATTCTTTTAAATCCTTCTTCTTCTGTCGGAATGAAAGGATTTGTTCCATATTTGGTTTGAAGTATCCTTGGGTAAAGGGGAACCAATTTTGTATAAACTGTGGGTCTGGCCCCCAAGGGGCCTGAGTGGTTGGGCCAAATATGGGAAACAGCAAATTCTTTAAAATCTTTCTTATTCTGTAGGAATGAAAGGATTTGTACCATATTTGGTCTGAAGCATCCTTGGGTGAAGGGGAACCAATTTTATATAAACCCGTGGGTCCGGCCCCCCAGGGACCTGAGGGGCGGTGCCAAAAGGGGGCAATTGCGCTATATTGCTTTAAGCGACTTCTTCTCTGGAACTAAGCGATAGATATCAACCATATTTGACTGGAAGCATCCCTCGGTAGTGGAGATTCAAAATTGTACAAATAGTGGGGCTGACCCCCCCCCCATGCTAAGGGGTTGGGCCAGAAAAGGTTTATTACTTGGAAATGGTAGAGATCCCCACGGTATAACTACTATATATATACAACTCAACTGTGTGGAGCATAAAGAGAAGCATGCACATTTGCCTCCAGGATGGCCTAGGGTCTGGCCCCACCCTTTGAGACATAGTCCCTGGGTCATAACTTTGAAACGGTTGAGATCCCCGCCCCAGAACTATATATACAAATGCTTGGCATAAAGAGACAAAAGTAGTCATGTTATTAGAATAGACCCTGGGGTCTGACCGAACCCCTAGGGACCTAGTTTCTTAGTCACAGCTTGGAAACAGTTGAGATCCCCACCCTATAACCATACATATATGCAATTGCTGCGTATAAAGAGATGAATGCACATATGCTTCCAGGATGGCCTTCAGGTCTGCCTCACCCTTGCAGACTTAACCCCTGGGTCATAACTTTAAAACGGTTGAGATCCCCACCCCAAGACTATAAATACAAATGCTGGACAAAAAGAGACGAATGCAGTCATGATATTAGAATTGATCCTGGGGTCTGGCCACAACCCTAGGGATCTAATTTCTGAGTCACAGCTTGGAAACAGTTGAGATCCCCACCCCATAACCATACATTAAATTGCTGGGCATGAAAAATCTAATACAGACATACTACAAGAATTGGCATTGGGGTCTGGCATATTCCCTTGGATGTCATTTGGAGAATATTTTGCCATGATTGCTTAGATATCCAGGTGAGCGATTCAGGCCCTCTGGGCCTCTTGTTTTCTGCATACAATCCATCATACCCTAGGGGGTGACTGAGAATTCATATCCTAGAGGTGACAGGGAAATCATACCCTATGGGGAGGGGATGGGGTTGTTGACAGAGAAATCATACCGTAGGGTGACGGAGAAATCTTGAACAGGTAAAAAGGGAGACAATTCAGTCAAAGGTTGGCGAGTTATAGAATTCCTTTGAAGATTATGCTCTATGATTTACATAATTATTTGAGATATTGACAATTTCTACAATTTCTATACATGTATATTGTACATACATTTTTTAGCTCACCTGGCCCATGGTGCAGCGTCCGTAAGTGGAAGCGCTCATAGTTGTTTACATTCAGAAATGTAAATGTATTCAACTTTTTCCTTTAAAATGCTACTTGTCCTGAATGGCTCAGAGGATTTTGACCAAATTTGGTCAGGAGCATCATTGGCCAAAGGGTTCTCAGTTTTGTATAAACGGAGGGTATAACCCCCTTGGGGGCAGAGGGGCGGGGCCAAATAGGGGGAAAATAGGTAAATCTTTAAAAATCTTCTTCTTCTCAACCAATAGAAGGATTTTGACCAAATTTGTCCTAGAGCATCTTTGGACAAAGGAGACTCAAGTTTGTATAAACAGTGGGTGCGGCCTCTATGGGGGCAGAGGGGCGGGGCCAAATAGGGGAAGTAGAGGATTTTTTCTCTCCTACTATACAAGTGAAGGGATTTAAACCAAATGCAGTCTGAAGCTTGGTCAGGAGCATCATTGGCCAAAGGGTTCTCAGTTTTGTATAAACG